CCCCCTCCTCCCACCCCCACCCTGGCCTTGGGGCTGCCCCGAGGGTGCTCTGGGCTGGGGCTAGGTTCCTGGGTGGATATGAGGAGCCGCAGGGCCGTGGACAGGGCAGATTCGTCCTTCCAGGCCTCAGTTTCCCTCTTTGCAGGCTCCTAGTCTAGCTCCCTGAGGTCATGACCCGGGAGGCTGTGAGGCCAGGACACATGGCCCCTCCGTGCCTGGCAGTGGGAGAGGCAGGTGGGGACCTGGGCAGAGAACAGAAGGCCAGGCTGTGCGCTGGGTGGGCGGGAGCCCCGGGGGTGCCAGCCTGGACGTGCAGGCCGCTCCCCCTCCCTGCAGGCAGCCCGGCCCAGGCCTCGGCTGTCCCCCGTCCCCGAGGCTGACCCGGCTCTCCCACAGGTGGCAGGGCTACGAGGGCTTCGTGGCTGTGCACAGCCTCCCGACCTTCGGCTGCAGGGACTGGGAGACCTTCCGCACCACGGCTGGCTCCTACCTCGTCTACTCCAGCGCCAAGGAGCCCCTCTCCCGAGTGCTGAAGCTCAGGACGGGATGAAGGGCCTGGGCCCCCGGAACAGGACTCGCCTCACTGCACCCCGGAGTCCCGCCCGAGAAGCCCTGGCACCTCTGAGGGGATGAGCCCGGACAGCATCACCTCCGGAGCTGCCATCTCGCTGTCCTTCCCCTCCTCCAGTTGGGGACACCTGTCACCTGTCTGGCCTGGTAGCCATCGTGGCCTGATTTGGGTGGCTCATGGGTGTTCAGGTGAAAACCAGAGCTGCCCTGTGTGTCGGGGGCCCTGCAGGGACTTTGCCTTAAAGGAAAAGTTCATACATTTTTTTACCTCATAAGCAAAAGCCTGGCCACCTTCCCTGCGGTGGCGACCTGCGGCCCAGCGACTCCACCCGGGTTGGCGAGCCTGACGGGGACAGGCTTGGTGCTGTTTTACAGATTCATACCAGCTATTTATTGTATTTTGTCAACTCAGAAATATATTTATGACACTTTTTAGAAAAAGCCCGGCTGCCTCTGCGTGTTTTTGGCACGGCCTCAGCTCTCCGTGAGCATGTCCGGGCCCTTGCTCTGCCACCAAATTGAGATGTGCCCTCAGGTCCCTAGTCACCAATGCAGATGGAGGACACTTCTCCTATGCAGAGAGCTTCTTCCTCTGGCCTCAGTTTACCCACGGGTGCAGCTGGTGGGTGTGCAGGATGGACCAGGGCTGCCTCCTTGGGGCCAGCTCTCGCTCAGCTCCTCCCTAATGCCCGGACCCTACACCAGGAGGAGGCCTCCTGCCTCCCGGGGACTGCTGCTGGGGTGAGCATGACCCCACCCTGGGAACCTGGAAGGGGTGGGAAGGTGCCAGCACCGCCCACAGGGGCAGGCCTTGGGGTCGAAGGGAAACGCTCCATGCCAGAGGCGTTGCTGAGAAGGCCCGTGGGTCCACACAGAGCCGGGAGACCACCAGTTCCATTGCCCACGCCAGCCCGGCCCGCTCCAGGAGGGTGACTGCCCCGCAGAGTGGGCTGCTGGGGCCGGGGCCCAGTGGCAGGAAGGCCGCACGCTTGTTGAACGCGCTGCTGTTTCTGCCTTAAAACTCTCAGTGACTTTTGCCCAAGATCACACAGCCAGGGACACAGTGGCAGCTGCAGCCAGCCCGAGCGGCTCCCATGGGCAGTGCCACACAGGACGGGTAGGCCCTGCAGCCGGGACGGAGGCCTGTGCTGAGCCTGCTCCTCCGCAGTCCAATCAGCCTGGGGTTTCCACACTCTAAGCAGCGCCCCTTTGATTCCCAAAGGCTGAGATTTTTCTAGACCCTCCTTCAGGCCAGTAAGTACTTCATGTGTCTGGGGAGAGCAAGGGGCAGTTTGGGGTGGAGGGAGGGGGGTTCTGGGGACAGGCAGGGGACCGGTGAGAGAGAAGTCCCAGGCTCTGGCATCCCCCTGGGTAATTCCATGGGCATGGACCTCTCCCTCCCCCCAGCCACTCTGCAGACTTGGGGCCCACCAGTCTCCACAGTCACCTGAGCCAGTTCCTTATGTCTCTTCTCTCTCTGCACTTGCCAGAGGTTCTACTTCCTGGAGAGCACAGGGCTCCAATAGGCCAAGGCACTCGGGCATCAGGAGTTTAATCCCACCTGCCGCTTCCCAACCCCTGAGCCTCAGTTTACCCCTGGGTGAGGGCGAAATGGGCACTGTACATGACCTCCACGCATCCACCCTTCACAGCTTCTCTCTCCCTAGGGTAACCGGATGTCCAGTTTTCTCTCTGGCCTGAGGGTGTAACTCCAGGGTCTGGCTCACCATGGGGGAGAGGAGACTGGCCCCCAGGGAGGAAGGAGGCAGACACACAGGCCACCAGCACACACATGGAGCTGCTGCTTCCCTGCCCAGGACTTGCTCAGCAATCAAATGGTGCCATCACGTCCTTGGCACAAATCCGATCTCTGTTCTACTGGGTGGAAACAAAAACCATAAATCAAGGCATGTTTAAATTATGAATGCAAACAAGAGGGGGACATGCAGAGAACGTTAAAATATTTACATCTTTTCAAGTCAGGCCTGGTCTTTGTCCTGCTGATAAGCTCTGGCAAGGCGGCCTGCAGTGTGGTGAGAATTTGCACACGGTTTATGTGCCGCATTCCTGTCCTTTTGACAAGAGTGCTGTGCTTCCTGTGGCCACAGTCCCTACCCTGCAGAGCCAGCGGCCTTTGTTGATCTGTGGGGCTCTTTTCAATAGTCCCCACTGCGCTGTAACCCTCTAAGGGCAGGTTGGTACAAGTTGCATTTCTCTGGGGCTGCTTCTTCGCTGTCTGGAGAAGTATCATCCAAGGCGGTCTCTGCACCTGCTCCTGACTTCCAGGGCTCCCTCCCAAACCCTGACCGAGGCCACGGGCTGCCAGATGTGCGGAGCTGCACCTGTTCCATCGGTCTTGCCAAGCCTGGGCTTTGCCTGTCCCACAATCAGCCAGGTTAGGCAGCAGGGGTGCTGACAAGGTTACCTTGTTCTAACCTCGGTTATCGCTCCTGGTGTCAGGGTTGCTGGACTTTTCCTGTAGCACCCTTAACTTTGTCACCACCAACACCCCCTGCTCTCCGCCACACATACACACATCTCACACATGCATACCCATAGGCATGCACACACGTGCACATACACATGCATACACCCATATGTATGCACACATGCACACCCATACACGTGCATGCACGCACTTTCCACACATGCAAGCACATGGTACATGCACGCACACATGCACGTACATACAGTGCCAATCAAAATCCCAAAGCTCGCCTTTTTAACTGATGAAGTGATCCACAGAGCATCTCAAAGAATCAACAGGCAAAAAAATACTTTGAAAAAAAGAGGGAAAACTTGGCCTCCAGGTATTAAATTACACTAGAATTAAACAATTCAACCTGGTATTGGCATAATTTGGTAAAGTTAAAGTTACAGGTATTGGAAAGCAAAATATTCTAGAACAGATTTTTTTTTCTATTTGGAGGAAGAGTTTCTAACGATAAAAACAATGGAGGTAAATGGAAAGGGAGGAAATTGAACGGGATGCTGTAGGGGGTAGATGGATAGTCCTGCACCTGTTGAACACATGATGTTACATTGAAATGTAAGTCGGGCTGAGACCCTAGCACAGACCGATGACACTATAGGCACATCCAGGGCCCGATTCATTCAAACGGTCAGCGCTCAGGTCCGAGGAGCGCTAACAAACCAGTGGGAACCCGACCCCCACATATCTCCGCATCTTAATTGCTCCGACTTCCTGTCTGGGGGCTGTGGCTTTGTGGGTGGCCACCAGACGTGTGTGCCGTCCACTGCTGCCTGGCAGCTGGTCACACCCCTGCTCAGCATTCACCGGCTCCCAGGACCTTGGACAAGTCATCTAACCTCCCTGTGCCTTGGTTTCCCCATCTGTAAGAGCTGGCTGCTAACATCGCCTCTGGAATCAGCTCCCCAGCCTGGTGGCCACTCTCCACCTGCTCCCTGGCAGTTTCTCCCTCCGCAGCCTCTGTGGCCCTTCCTCTGATGCCTCCTCCCCAAGAGCGGCTGAGCTTGCAGGAAAGGCGAGCCCGGTGCCCGGCCGGGCCTGGCTCAGCAGCTGAGCGTCGACCTAGGATCCAGGCAATCGGGGTTCGATTCCCGGTCAGGGCACATGCCCGGGTTGCGGGCTCGATCAGTGACTCTCTCATCATTGATGTTTCTCTCTCTCTCTCTCCCTCTCCTTTCCTCTCTCGGAAATCAATAAAGATATATT